CTTTTCTTATAATAAAAAATAGTGAAATAAACTAACTTTAATAATAATAATTTATTCTCTACAAAGGTTGTAATTTTGATCTTGAAGTTGGAACAAAAGAAAATAGATTGAAAAAGAAGGAATGAATTAGTAAATTAATGGAAAACATTCTTAGTTTTTATATTCATATTTCGTATATGTTGCTTGTTCTTATATATATCATATCACTCATATATTTTATAATAAATTTCATCTATATATCTTATATATTTATATTGAATTCCATTTATTTGGCTAAAAATTATACAATTTTTTGCTTCATATGTAACCTTTAGATTGATTCGCATCCAAACATATCCCAAAAATAGTTGTTTAATGAATGGTGTTACCCATAACAACACCTGACGTATTTTGAGTACTTTAAACAATTGAATTTATGTCGTACAACATAAATTAAATTCATCGCAGTGATCATCAAATTGTGACAAAAATAGAATTTCCACTATTACTATGCTAGTTATTGACAAGTAATTTTTTATACTGCCCTAAATTTTAAAATAGATTTAAGGGTAGGCTCCATATGTAACACATATAAAGTAAATTCTGCGAATGCAAAAAAAGTACAAAAAATGTTTTCATAATATAAATACCATATTTAATAAAACCAAGGAAATTTTTTTCGCAAATTTTGTTTGATTGGTTAAAGACTTGTACTAGTCACAAGTTTTTTGAATTCTTAAAAATTTAAAATCCCGTGATCGGCACTAATTAACATATTAATATGGGGTCTGGACAATAGAAACGGACCATGTTGTGAAAATGATGTTTTGAGAAAATTTAAAAAAAAGATCTGCATTTCAAGTAATTTACTATTGTTTTTAAAACTTTAATGGAGGGTATCTCAAAGTTTTATTAAGCAAAGTGGGTATGGTTTCTAAGCCAAAAATTTTATACATGAGGAATTACATATAATAGTGATACTAACTCAAAATTGCTTTTTTTACAACATGGTCCGTTTCTATTGTCCACACCCATATGTGTAACTTTATTGCATGGAGCCTACCCTTAAACTATTACTATTCATTTTATTTACATCTAAACTCGATAAGTCGGACATTTATTTATATTATAAAGTACTTTAAACAATTGATTTCTGCGTCCGACTTATCGAGTATTATTATTGTTAGGAAAAATTAATTATTTTGTCAGACAAATTCATGGGAAAAAAAAAGTTACACAATTTTATTTCTTAATTAGGTCAATCTTTGACCAATCGTAACAATAAGAACTGGAGGGATGAAGTGGTAACTTGAAAATAATCCCACGGCAGATTTTATTTATGTAACATATACATAGATAATCTGAAAAAATCCGTGAAAAAATGCTATAAATAATACAAAAAAATTCGAAAACGAAAATTTTGTTTTTTAAAAAAATAATTATAATCATTAATTAATAAATTCAATTAAATAAACTCATAACCAACCATAACCAATATATAATAAAAAACTAAATTCATAATCAACATATATAAAAAAAACTAAATATGTATCAAAATCATTCTAACAATAATATTGTTATTAATAATATTGATATTAATGGTACTGATATTAATGATGTTGATATTAATGGTATTGATATTAATGATGTTGATATTAATAATCAAGACTTTGTTCCTAATTATGACGACAATTACATTCATCAAACTCCTGGAAACAATAATTACATTCATCAAAACCTTGAAGACAATAATTACATTCATCAAACTCCTGGAAACAATTACATTCATCAAAACCCTGGAGACAATAATTACATTCATCAAACTCCTGGAAACAATTACATTATTTATCAAAACCCTGGAAACAATAATTACATTCATCAAAACCTTGGAGACAATAATTTAGGTCACCAAAACAGCCAGAACTCTGTCAAAAATAATTACATTGATCAAAACTCCGGCGACGGTAATTTAATTCATCAAATTAATTTCTCCAACCAAAACCCGGGGATTAGTTTTGTTGACCGAAGCTTCACTGGAATAACCAACAATGATAACAATGATATCCTTGGCCAAAATCCATCTATTACTACGAGCATTAATTATCCGAATATGAAAAATTGTTTTGACAATAATTTTGTTGGTCAAAATGTTCATCAAAATTCTATTATCGCGAATAATCTCAATCAAAACAATGATCAACTGCTACTACTTATTTACATATTATCTCAACAACTTCAAAATCTCCAAAATTTTTTATTTTACAATAACAATAACAGATGTTAATATTAATATATGGTTCATTGTTCATAAATCGATTTTAAATAACGTCAATAGTAATAACAATTACAACATCAATTATTTTCTAACAATTTTATCTTTTTCAATTTTTTTCTAATTAACTTTTATATTTTGTTTGTAAATCCAGTCAGACATATAATAGATATTTTTTATGTGTTTAATCGAGAAGAATATAATGTGATAATTATGAAAATTAAATTTAATCATTAAGATTTATTTAATACAATTATAGCGCAGCGTTATTTAAATTATACTTCGTAACTGAAATAATTCCAAAGCTCACTCATGTATTTGTTGTATTATCTAAATAATAATTCAAACGATTTGTTTTCAAGTCAATTTTTTGTATTTTCACTTATAACAATTATTTATGATGTTAATCTAACGATGGGATATTAAAAATTTGTCAAGAACTCTTTATAGTAAACCTTTAAGATAAGCTAATTAATTTTGTTCGATGCTCACCATAAATAAGAAGTTTTTTAAGCAAAAAATCGGCTTTGTTAAACCTCTGAACTTTGTGAATGACCCATTATTAAAAATAATATTTGGATTTATGATGTAAATATTAATACTAGATATTAAAGAATTTCATGTTCATTCTATGCATGTTGTTCCTTTTTCAAAACTCTATTGCCTAATGCAAAATAAAAAATTGTTCAAGATAGAAAATATCAATCATCAGATAAATTATTTAAATTATTTAAATTTATAGTCGGAGCGATCCACCGGTTGTCTTTTTCTACTATATAACGAGTGACAATTTTATATTTGGGTGAACAAAAAAAGTTCCCCATAATGAAATTCACTATGGCGAGCTTGATAGTATATGATCGTATCTATTAATTATTTATTTTAATAATGATATATTAGTTTTATTTTATAAAATATCCATATACAAGTAGAATTAAATCAAAAGATTATTAAAGAGCTTATATAATGGGACTGAGGTTTAGACTCGAATCATTATTGGATTAATTTATTAAAAATCGTCATGGTTATATTAAAATTCTACGATCAATTTATGCCAACAAAAAAAATATAATGAATTCTAATTGTTGGAGAAACCAGTTTTATTGGAAATCCTCGGAAGAAACAATTTTTAGAAGTATGAAAATGTTCTTAAATGGGGATTAGCAAAACATCCAGAAATAAAAGGTGATGTTAAATATTGGTCATCAAAAACTTTGCAAATCTAAGAAACACATTAAAAGGATTAATTAATTTGATTCAAGGATATTTTTAAAGAGGGCTTTCATAGTAAACTACAAAGCTTTTCCAGGGGATCTATGGAACAAAATTATCTTATTCCTGAAGATCCAAAAAATTCAACCAATGATATTTAATCAAAAGATCACTTTGCTTTTTGCAAGTTGGATTGACAAAAAAGATCCACCCATGACTCACTAAATCAAGCAGGTTATATAGTAGTAGTAGAGATGGTTTAGATACAAAAATATTTCATCATAAATGTGATCATGCCATTGGGAGTTAGTCACGAGACTCTTTACTAGAATTATTATACAGCACGTGAGTTAAAATTTGGTTACGTGGGGACAAAAAATTACTAATAAAAATTGTTAATTGTCAACCATTACACAAAAAATCGTATCAACAAATATTGTTCCCGAGTTGTTTCTAAAACACTGGCATTCTTTCATTTAAGAATGAATTGATACTATCGTGTTCTGCTGTCCCCAGGAATGAACAACATTTGAATTTTTAAGTTTACAATATTTTCTGTTTCATAATAAAACCCTCCTTGAATAAGCAATTTGATAAAAATGTTAAATAGTTATGAAAAGGAGTCTTGATAGAAATGGTACAACGTCAAAATTTGTGATTTGAGTTAATACTAATACCACATTTACATTTTTGGCTTTGCATAATGAAATTTCCTTTATTAATTAACAATTTTATTATTGTTGTTCGCTTTCACCTTTCATTTTTTGGAAATTTGGATTTTTAAAATTTATATCACGTGAATTTGTTGTAACGCGACTATTAATACTTAATACCAATAAATTCGTACCTGGACAAAAGTATCGGAGCATTTGCTTTTGTTGATTGCGCAAAAATATACATAATAAACATGCATGAAATTTATATAATTTGCGGTTTAGGTTCTTGTGAATATCTATGCAAAATCCCACACATCTATGTTCCGTAGAAATCGAATAAATATATAAAAATGAAATTTGGTTAAAAAATTTTCTTTGACGATTACTAAATCTCTGACGCGAAATTTTCTATTTTATTACTCAAATTCTATGTGATAATTTTTAATTTAAAATTTTAACTATTTTTAATATTTAGTTGGGTATCCTTTGCTCTTTCTGCAAGCCTGAATTCTACTAGGCATGCTTTCAATCAAATTCATTAAAAAATTTTGAGGAATTTTATTCCATTCATCTTTTAAAGTAGCCTCAAGTTTAAGATTTCTTAGATTGTTGGACGACTTCTAATACGATATACTGTTGTGGTGGGAAGCCAAGTACTTTAGAAATAATTCTATATGAGACTCCACTTTTATAAAGGCCAACTATTTGCCCGTGATGAGCTTCAGTTAAATCAGACTTTTTTTTTTTTGAAATTTAAAATTTTGAAAACTTTTTAAAATTTTTTTTAAAAAAAAGTTCTTAAAAAATAAGTAATAAAAAATAATTTTCCAGAATTACCAAACTTGGGTTTTCATATACAAAATTTCCAAAACATATTACTATATAGGTTCTTGGGCAATTTCTAAAACATCATGTCAAAAATTTTTGATTGTCAAAATTTAATCGGATTTCATTTATTCGAGTTCTGCGGAACCTAGATGCATGAGATTTTGCATAAATATTCACAAGAACCTAAACCGTAAATTATATAAATTTCATACATGTTTATTATGTATATTTTTGCGCAATCAACAAAAGCAAGCGTTCCGATACTTTTGTCCAGGTACTGTATGTACAATTATTATTATGCTTCTAAACATTGTGCGGGATCGTGTACGAGTCACGAATGATGATAATAATAGTATAATTTCCGCTAAAGTATAATTATAATTTCCGCGAATATATATTTATGCTTTACCTTCAAAACTCTCATTAAACAATTCTCTCACTCTAATTCGTAGAGCCACTCCCTAGTAACAATATCTCGCTGATAGAAAAGGAAATAGAAAAATAGAAAACAATTATACACGGGACTAGTATGAAGTCTAGCCTTTTTATTACCTCAAGAATATTCTCATTTTTATAAAAAATACAAGGTAACCAAGACAAAGACAAAAAATCAAAGATAACGACAAGGATAGCATTACTTACACAATCATCTAATTTCTTATTTCCGGGAACTCTTGATGACGTATCTCTTGTTCTAATTTAACATTTTTTAAAAACAATCCTTTTATTTCATGTTCTTTTTAAAATGAGCGAATGATTTTAAATTCTTTCTTTATATATAGAATTTTAGAATTAAATAAATGACGTAATGTTAGAATATGAGATAATTAATTTATTGGTTCATTGCGTTGATCAGGAAACACTTGATTAAATTGAACTGGTCGTGAAATGTCTAGTACTATTTATTTCCGATTTTCGTTTGTGTAACTTGTTGTTTTATAAACATATTAATATGCGCCGATTTTGTTTGAACCCCAAAATCCAGTACGGTATGATCATAACGCTATGAATACTTTATACTAGCAAAAACCCATTGGTTTTGAGGTGGGGCCATTGGTTTGACGGGTTGATGGTTAGTAAATTAGTTTTTTTAGTGGAGCAAATAATTTTTTTTAGGGTAATTATCATTCTACCGACCAGTTTACACATTAAAAATACTCGAGACACAATAAGACATAAGGTTTGAAAAAAGGCCCAAAAAACCAAATCAGCTGATATGATCACATGCGATTACATTTTTTATATGTTACGCGATTCCGATTATGTCTATTTTTATTCTCTTAGCGATCATATGACGTTATATTATAATCTAGTTCATTGAAAGTACTTTGAAGCAATACAGGTGACAATGATTATATGATAAAGGAATTTAACTTTATTCCCAAATAAGATGTTATCGATGGAAATAGTAATAGAGTAAAATCATTATAACCGACTAGTTATTTATTAATTTATCTAATAGATAAGATATTGGCAGTATGTATGATAATAATTAACATGAATGAATAGATTTAATAATTTTAAATAACAGGAACACGATGTCCGTAATTAAGTTCAAAATCAAGCTTTTTACAAAGAGATAATAAATAAATACAAATAAGGAAAGAAATATTCCCACATTCCTTAAAATTAGCGTGTAACATGAAAATTTAAAAATATAAAATAATAAAGATTTTTAACACATTATTAAATAAAAAAAATGAATGACCAATTATTAAATGAATATGTTAATAATATTAAAAGTTTATTGGACTCTGAAGAGATTTATGATGTAAAGATTTATGTTGGGACAGAACCATATACTAAAGAATTTCATGCCCATTCATTTATATTATATGCACGTTGTCCATTTTTCAAAACTGCCTTGTCCGAAACAAGTAAAGGATATGGGTTTTATATTTTCAATAAAACAAATATTAGCGAACACATTTTTGAAACAATTCTCAAGTAAGTGACTTGATCATCTTTAATGTTTTAATAGAATAAATACATGAAGTTTATTAATTAATTAATTATTATATATATATTATTTTTATTTTAAAAAAGATTTTTATATACAAGTCAAGCTAATTTTGACAATCACACTGGAGATCGTATATTTGAACTATTAAATGCAGCCGAAGATTTTGGTCTTGAATCACTTTTTGATCACACAATGAAATATTTTATTGAAAATCATGATAGTTATATAAATCAAAACACTGTTAATATCTTACAATCGATTTATAATAACAAAAAATATAATGGATTGAAAAACATCTGTTTAGAAAAAATTTGTGCTGATAGTAAGAAACTATTTGAACCAAACGAATTTGAATTGTCGGAGGAAAATGGAAAAATATTTAATTCAAATGAGTTTAAATTATTGGAGGAACCAATTTTATTAGAAATCCTTGGAAGAGATAATTTTTACGCTGATGAAATAGAAGTATGGGAAAATATTCTTAAATGGGGATTAGCAAAACATCCAGAAATAGAAGGTGGTGTTAAAGATTGGTCACCAGATAATTTTGAAAATTTAAGAAATACATTAAAAGGATTAATTAACATGATTAGATTCAGGGATATTTTTAAAGAAGATTTTCATAATAAAATTACACCATATCAAAAGCTTTTTCCTGAGGATCTATGGAATAAAATTCTACATTATTATCTTATTCCTGGAGATGCTACAACTTTAAACCTATCCCCATCAAGAGATCCAAAAATTCAACCAATGATATTTAATCAAAAGATCACTTTGCTTTTTGCAAGTTGGATTGACAAAAAAAATCCACCATATCATTCAATGAATCAGGTCAAATATAAATTTAAACTTTTATATAGTAAAAATAGAGATGGTTTAGTTCCAAAAACATTTCATCATAAGTGTGATCATGTCACCAAAACTCTTGTAATTGCAAAAGTACAAAACACTGATCAAATAGTTGGAGGATTTAATCCTGTGCATTGGAGAGGGGAAAATGAATATAAAAATTCAAAATGCAGTTTTATATTCAACATAACTAATAGGAATGACATTAACACTGCTAAAATTAGTTATGCTAATGGTAATGGTAAAAAGGCAATTTATTGTTATCCTGACTATTTACCTGTTTTTGGTTATGGTTACGATCTTAAATTTGATACAGATGGAGGCATTTCTAGTGATTCAAGCACCTATGATAAAATTGATATAGTAACTAAAAGTAAATTTGATGAATTAGAAGTTTTTGAAATAATTGATAAAGATCAAAAAATTCAACCAATGATATTTAATCAAACGATCACTTTGCTTTTTGCAAGTTGGATTGACAAAAAAAATCCACCATATGACTCAATCAATCAGGTCAAATATAAATTTAAGCTTTTATTTCGTAGAAGTAGAGATGGTCTAGTTGAAGATACATTTCATAGTAAATGTGATCACGTTACCAAAACTCTTGTAATTGCAAAAATACAAAATACCGAACAAATAATCGGAGGCTTTAATCCTATGCATTGGGGAGGAGAAAATGAATATAAAAATTCAAGCAACAGTTTTATATTCAACATAACTAACAAGAATGACATTAACACTGCCAAAGTTAGTTATGCTAATGGTAATGGAAAAAATGCAATTTATTGTTTTCCTGACTATTTACCTGCTTTTGGCTATGGTTACGATCTTAAATTTAATACAGATGAAAGTATCTCTAGTGCTCCAAGGACTTATGATCCAATAGATATATTAAATAAAAGTAAATTTGATGAATTAGAAGTTTTTGAAATAATTGATAAAGATGAAATCTGTCAAAACTATTCCAACCCTTCTGGAGATTTGCTTAAAGAATAAATGTTTTACTATATATATATATATATACACATATACATATACATATACAGTCAAACCCCTTGTTTCAACGAATTATAATTAACATTCATGTTACAACGAATTTTTCATAAAATGTGATTAGTAATTTGGTTAAAGTGCAATTTTCATAGATTCATTGAAACAAGGATTTGACTGTATTGTTAAAACAAGTTTTTGTATTTATTTATTGTAATCATATATGTTTCAAAAAAAAATAAATCAGCTCAATTACTGTATTTCTTTATGCATCTAGTACAGAGATAGATAGTTCTTCAAAGAAGTTAGTATAATGTAATTCTTGTAGAGTTGTATTTTTGACTGGTCTTTGTGTACCAGATTTTGCAAAAAATTTTATTGTCACTGAACGAATGTAAGACAACAATAAAAATAATAGACTATTTCTTTTATGAAAAGTTATTGTTAAAGTACGCGAAATCCGAGTTGTTTATATCACATTTGGAGACCTGGGCAAAAATAAAGATTCCGAGTTGTAGGTTTATTATTATTATTATTTGTCAGCTAAAGATCTACATGAACGTTATTTAATTTGTATATGTAGTACTAGCTAGGGTTGAGTAGTCCTCTAATGAAGCATTATGTATATGGTACCATTTTATAAGGACACATACATAGTTATGATAATAATGAAATTTATTCAATAAATTCAAAATATGAGATAAAAGAAATAAAATAAAATGATCCTCAAATTGATTCTATCCAAACACAATTCAAATCGCTCTTCTCCCAATAATTCAACGAGTGATCTAATGATGTGCGAGTTAAATAATCACAAGCTTAAGGTCGTAGATAGCACCCCCTTTTTACAACTGTTTACGCCTGCATAACGACCGATTTTCAATCTTTCGGAGTGTTATCTTTCAAGACTTTACGGTAAAAAATATTTTTTGTAGAATGTGACACCAAAGTCGAAATTTCAGCCCATGCGGACAATTTCTGAAAGGTTACACCTTTATCCCTCAGTTCGTAGGGATAGAGCCTCAGCCTGGGAAAACATATGAGATATCCCCCCTTACCAATCTTATCGATCTTTGGGTATCGGTCGGATAATTCACTCAAGATCTATGGACCAGGTGATCAGAGATATATCCGTGCATTTATATTTATCCCTCGCTGTATCCCTCTGAATATGAACACAGGGATAAAGGTCAGACCTACCCGGAAATCGTCCGCATATGGTGCGAAATGTTTAAAACTACTTTTATAAGCAACTTCTATTAACGGAGCTAGAATCGAAATATATTTATGTGTAATGATGAAATAAATATGGGTTGCCGTTAGATTCTTTTTTCTTTTGGATGGGCTAGGAATTATGACAAAGCTTGATACTATAATTCATATTTTTTGTATATGGTTCCCATAACCATATGATGTGACAAGATAATATGTGCGTGAAAATGTGAATTTAGCAATTCACGTGAAATTCAAATTAACCAATCAGAATTTCATATCCCGAACACCCTACCCCAAAATTTTTTAATTATAATACAACTAGTCATCAATTCGTTAAGACTTTTCATTTATGTAATCATTAATTCCCACACACAATATGTAATATTACATTCTTCATTAGCTCTATCTCCTAGTTAATATTGTGCTTTGCTTCTAATAAAACTTTATGGGTATTGACAACTGCTGGGTGGCCAGAAGTTAAACAATAACCTACGCTTGATTTTATATCTAAAAGTAAAGTTTATTTGATATAGAATAAAATTTTCTTTAATAAAATGAAAGATACTATTTAATTTATCATGCTTCTAATACTAATAAAACTCGGTTTAATAATATTGCATAGCATATTTCAACACATTAAATAGAAAAAAAAATGAATGACCCGTTATTAAATGAATATATTAATAATACTAAAAGTTTATTGGAGTCAGAAGAGATTTATGATGTAAAGATTAATATTGGGGTAGAATCAGATACTAGAGAATTCCATGCTCATTCGTTTATATTATATGCACATTGTCCATTTTTCAAAATTGCCTTGTCCAAAAAAAAAAAAGAAAATGGGTTTTATGTTTTCAAGATAACAAATATTAGCAAACTTATTTTTGAAACAATTCTCAAGTAAGCGATTTAATTGTCTTTTTATTTTTTAATTGAATATATGAAGTTTACTAATTAATAATTATTTTTATTTTTATTTTAAAAAAGATTTTTATATACAAGTAAAGCCAATTTTGACAATCATACCGGAGATCATATATTGGAGCTATTAAGTGCAGCTGAATATTTTAATCTTGAATCATTTTTTAACCATACAATGAAATACTTTATTAAAGATCATGATGATTATATAAATCAAAACACTGTTGAAATTCTGAAATTGATTCATAATAACAAAAAATATAATAAATTAAAAAATATCTGTTTGGAAAAAATTTGTGCTGATGGTGGAAAATTATTTAAATCAAATGAGTTCAAATTATTGGAGAAACCAATTTTATTAGAAATTCTTGGAAGAAATAATTTTTATGCTGATGAAATAGAAGTATGGGAAAATATTCTTAAATGGGGATTAGCAAAACATCCAGAAATAAAAGGTGATGTTAAATATTGGTCACCAGATAATTTTGAAAATCTAAAAAATACATTAAAAAGATTGGTTAACATGATTAGATTCAAAGATATTTTTAATGAGGATTTTCATAGTAAAATTAATCCATATCAAAAGCTTTTTCCTGAGGATCTATGGAATGAAATTCTACATTATTATGTTGTTCCTAGAGATGCTGCAACTTTGAATATATTACCATCAAGAGATCCAAAAATTCAACCAATGATATTTAATCAAAAGATCACTTTGCTTTTTGCAAGTTGGATTGACAAAAGAATTCCACTATATCACTCAATGAATCAGGCCAAATATAAATTTAAACTTTTATATAGTAGTAGTAGAGATGGTTTGGTTCCAAAAACATTTCATCATAAGTGTGACCATGTCACCAAAACTCTTGTAATTGCAAAAGTACAAAACACTGATCAAATAATTGGAGGCTTTAATCCTATGAATTGGGGAGGGGATAGATATAAAATTTCAAACAACAGTTTTATATTCAACATAACTAATAAGAATAATGACATTAGCACTACTAAAGTTAGTTATGCTAATGGTAATGGTAAAAAGGCAATTTATTGTTATCCTGACTATTTACCTGTTTTTGGTTATGGTTATGATCTTAAATTTAATACAGATAAAAGTATTTCTAGTGCTCCAAGGACTTTTGATAAAATAGATATAGTAAATAAAAGTAAATTTGATGAATTAGAAGTTTTTGAAATAATTGATAAAGATCAAAAAATTCAACCAATGATATCTAATCAAAAAATTCAATCAATGATATTTAATCAAAAAATTCAACCAATATTTAATCAAACAATCACTTTGCTTTTTGCAAGTTGGATTGACAAAAAAAATCCACCATATCACTCAATGTATCAGGTCAAATATAAATTTAAACGTTTATATAGCAGTGGTAGAGATGGTTTAGTTGCAAATATATTTCATAGTGAATGTGATCATGTCACCAAAACTCTTGTAATTGCAAAAATACAAAATACTGACCAAATAATTGGAGGCTTTAATCCTATGAATTGGAGAGGAAAATATGAATATAAAAATTCAAACAACAGTTTTATATTCAACATAACTAACAAGAATGACATTAACACTGCCAAAGTTAGTTATGCTAATGGTAATGGTAAAAATGCAATTTATTGTTACCCTGACTATTTACCTGCTTTTGGATATGGATATGATCTTAAATTTAATACAAATGAAAGTGTTTCTAGTTCTCCAGTGACTTATGATAAAATAGGTATAGTAAATAATAGTAGATTTGATGAATTAGAAGTTTTTGAAATAATTGATAACGATCAAAAAATTCAACCAATGATATTTAATCAAAAGATCACTTTGCTTTTTGCAAGTTGGATTGACAAAAAAACTCCACCATATCGCTCAATCAATCAGGTCAAATATAACTTTAAATGTTTATATAGCAGTAGTAGAGACGGTTTAGTTGCAGATACATTTCATAGTGAATGTGATCATGTCACCAGAACTCTTGTAATTGCAAAAATACAAAATACTGATCAAATAATTGGAGGTTTTAATCCTATGAATTGGAGAGGAGAAAATGGATATAAAAATTCAAACAACAGTTTTATATTCAACATAACTAATAAGAATGGCATTAACACTGCTAAACTTAGTTATGCTAATGGTAATGGAAAAAATGCAATTTATTGTTATCCTGACTATTTACCTGTTTTTGGTTATGGTTATGATCTTAAATTTAATACAAATGAAAGTATTTCTAGTTCTCCAATGACTTATGATAAAATAGGTATAGTAAATAATAGTAAATTTGATGAATTAAAAGTTTTTGAAATAATTGATAAAGATCCAAAAATTCAACCAATATTTAATCAAGAGATCACTTTGCTTTTTGCAAGTTGGATTGACAAAAAAAATCCACCATATCGCTTAATGAACCAGGTTAAATATAAATTTAAACGTTTATATAGCAGTAGTAGAGATGGTTTAGTTGCAGATATATTTCATAATGAATGTGATCATGTCACCAAAACTCTTGTAATTGCAAAAATACAAAATACTGACCAAATAATTGGAGGCTTTAATCCTATGAATTGGAGAGGAAAATATGAATATAAAAATTCAAACAACAGTTTTATATTCAACATAACTAACAAGAATGACATTAACACTGCCAAAGTTAGTTATGCTAATGGTAATGGAAAAAATGCAATTTATTGTTTTCCTGGCTATTTACCTGTTTTTGGTTATGGTTATGATCTTAAATTTAATACAGATGAAAGTATTTCTAGTGTTTCATGGACTTATGATCAAATAGATATTGTAAATAAAAGTAAATTTGATGAATTAGAAGTTTTTGAAATAATTGATAATGATGAAATTCATCAAAATCACTACAGTCCTTTTGGAGATTTGCTTAGTGAATAACTTTATATGTATATTTTACTTGGATTTAATAAAAATATTTACATATACACAGTAGCAGCATAGTGGACATTCATTTTATCACTTGACAAAATTGATCATTGATCTTTTTTATATTGTGAAACTTGCTATATATTTCAATTGAATTTAGAATAGAAAAAATTCACGTGACTGCACACAAAACCCATTTTATGGAAAATCTATTTTTTTTTATATCAATATATCGCTTTGACTTTTCTTTATATTTTGGTAAAACTTGATCAATTTGATCAATTTGATTTCAATAAGTTACCTTAGAAGTAAAATATTATACTTGCAGGTAAAGACTTATTCTATATTCTCATTATTATTATACTTTAAAGAAATATACTTGGGGTATGGTATAATGGAAAACCAGAAATAGTTATTCCTGAAAGAATTCAAAAAATCAAGAATTTCGTAATTAAGCATTTAAAATTTTTGACTGATAATCAATTCATAATATAAAACTATTGCAAATAAGTGTTTAATATATAATCTATATCTTATAATACATTTTTTTTATTAGCATCTGTAATATCAATCATTTGCCAAGAAAAAAATCACACAATAAAGTAACTAAAAATATAACTCATTAATATAAATTTCATGATCATGATTTTGCAATACAATTATTTTTGATAAGGAAAAAATGTTTGCTTATTTTGTGCTTTCTCAGATGTACTTATAATTTTTGGTTTCTTTATTAATTTATCTCCCATTGGTTTCTCTAAATTTCTCTTTCTGGTAACTAATGATGTTAGCCGTTTAAAAATCCTTAGCCAGCTAAGCCATTTACTACCTAAATTGGTAATTTGATTTCTATAACAAGAAAGTAATGCAGAAATCCATTACCAAATTTAGAAATTATGCATGCAGATTATTAGCCAGCTAACATCACTGCTGGTAACTAGCTGAACCTTCTTACTGAGTTCAATAAGCATATTTTTCGTTTCATCTAACTTCTTTTTGTATTCCTTTAATACAAGATATGCAAGTTCCAAATTATATAGGTCTTCATGAGAAGAAGGGAGTAAAGCCCAGGGTTTGTAATTCATGGATACCATGAATACCATTAAGGGGGTTACACACTAATAAATCAGCAAAAAAATCCCTTAAAAACACTTGATTTTAATAGTGTGTAACCCTGTGTGACCTCATTATGGTATCCATGAATACAAACCCTAGTAAAGCCTCATACATCAAAATCAAATGAAACAGGAAACAGGAAGAGGCAAAAGCATACACCTGAATCTTGCGACCTAGTTTCCATTTTGATTTAGTATTTATATATATACTTATAAATTGCAGTATATCATAAAATTGTTTGTATTTTTAAATTATAATGCTTACCAACCACTATCAGACCCCACAATACCAATTTGTTTATATCTACACCTGTCAAATGATCTCCTGCAATCACCCATAAGTCCCAGAGCTCTAATCCAAGTTTAAGAGTATCTCCCCACTCTTTAGATCGTGAAAAATGTGTAAGACCACCAGAAACTTCTAAACAGCTAATAACTGGAGTCAAACTAAGATTCTGATATTCAAAAATTGTGTCCACCTTAAATCCAATTCATGCACGGTCATTTGGGTCTCTTTCTTTATTTTGGCATATGGCGGTTGCTTCCAGTGATTGTTCACCACTAAATAAAAGGTATTAATGATTATAATAAAAACAAGATATTTTATATTTGTACAATTTACTTACTATTTTGCCCAAAAATAGCAATCTTTTCTTATTGTTGCATCCAGCAAAGGAACGATATTGCAGAACATATGGGGCGTGGAAAATAGAAACAGCCCTAACTACCAAAATTGTGATTTTGAGTTAATGACATTTTTATATGTAATTCGCCACTGGAATTAATTTTAGCTTAGAAACAATACCCACTTTACTTAGTAAAATTTTGAGATATTTTCTGTTAAAGTTTTTAAAAACAATAGTAAATTACTTGAAATGTAGATCTTTTTTTCTGATTTTCTCAAAATCGAGATTTTGCAGTTAGGGCTGTTTCTATTTTCCGCGCCCCATATGCTCAACTTCAGATAGGTAATTCTTTCAGATCATTGTTATAGAATCAGTTCTAAAGGAAATACACAACCATTAGATATTATGTTTCCATAAGAGAACAAATTATATATCTACACTTACATTCAACTGAAAAGCTTTCTGATTGTTTTTTCTTCTTCTGTTACTGTTGGTATGTCATCAACATCTTCAGACTACAAATAAAAAATATTTCAATATGCATAATTTATTGTTTGTGTTTCAAACAAAAAAAATTACTGACTACCTTTAAAAGTTTGTCAATGAATTCTGTCTCTGATTCAGTTAGTTCTGAAACACAAAAACGCATTTTTGGAGGTGCACATAGCATTTGAGGAAAAGTGTTAGATAATAAATTTGAAGTTGGGCTATGAAATCCAGAGTGATCAATCAGATAATAATAAAGGGGACTGAAAAATATTATTAAATTTTTGTCAATGTTGTAAGTCAAATAAGACTATAAGAAGCAAAATAAAAAATAAATAAAAAACTCACTTGAGAGCAGATTTTGACTCTTTTATTTGTTTACGGTACACTTCTACTTTCTGGATTACTGCATTCCAATCCAGACTTTCTGAATTATCCTCTATAATATGAACAACAGATGGCTGTTGAAGTTCTAATTCCATCTCATTTTCTTCAACCTTGGGATTAATGTTCCATGTCACAATCCAAAAAAGGAAACAAAATGGTCATAAAGGTGGTTGCAACCAGCGGTTGCAATCATTTTTATATGATGCAAAGATGGTAGCAACCATCATCAAAAGTTGCAGCCGGTATCCTTACTTGGGATCACTACCTCTGGTCTCTTGAATCTGGATGGGAAATACAAAATTGTCTTTAATATTAGTTGGAATGAACTTTGTAAACTGTTTGTTTGACTTCAACTTTGCCTTTTTGGAATATAATAATATAAGAAAAAAACATTAATTAATTTTAATTTATACTATATTCACAGCTTCAACAATATTATTATTTACTTTTTTATGCCTTTTTAAATTGTCCTCAGACTCTTCAGATTCATCACTAACAATACATATAATAATTTAATGTCAAATTTGCAAATTATTGAAAAAATAATATATTAAGTAAACCTACATCGAAATGTACTCAGATGAAGAATCTAACTGTATAGACTGTTCATTCAAATTTTGCAGTTTCTCAGTAAAATTTGTTACCTAGAAGGAACTTTGAAGAATGCATTGATCTTGTCAACTGAACTCTGCAAAGATACAAAGATCAATATTGTGAATATGGTATAAAAAAATTAAATAACTACTGATCCTCAAAAAGGCATATCTATACCTTTTTATTTAGATGTTCCTACAGACAGAAAGATTCACAAAATCAAAATTTTTGCCAAGACATTAAACAATACACTTCTCATAAATATGCATTAACAAAATGATTAATTTATAACTAACCAGAATTTGAGTTTGAAAAGAATGGCTCATGACATCATGCTCCATAGCAATATTTGACTTTAGGTTAAAGAAATGCTGTCCCTACATTCAAAGTTTTATACTACTTAAGCATATCAAACCATTAAAAATTTATATTTAAATATAATACTCTACTCACTTCTTTTTCCTTAGAAATAATTTCTTCTGAACAAGTCTTTTTGCACTCCCCATTTATTCGAGTCGAAGACCAATATCATTCCATGTATGAACTATTTATCATTAAATCAAATTTGTGAAGCATCTTTTGTGCCTTAGATGATAGTTCGCCATTTTCTGACGCAATCTCTTCCAGTGATCTTTTCAGATCTCTTCCTGCTTGATCTCGTTGAGAGAACCCATACTCCAAGATTTTAAAGTACTTGACAAATCCAAATCCTTTTGCAAGGATACTCCTCAAAATTTCATTACAATCAACCTAATCACAATCATAAGTAAATCAATTGTTTATTTCTTTCATGAATTAATAAGAAAAAGAGAAAATACATACCATAGTTTATTTAATAGCTTGCAAAAGGTAACAAAGAAAGATAAATAGTATTAGTAGTTTTATTCGATAGTAAATATTACACTAAAAACAGTAATGTATTAACAAGTAATCATCCAGTGACAACACCAGGAAAGTATGAAACCATGCAAGGCTTTACAGGTCAACACGGACAATGTATTTGCTTTTTCAATAATTTCCCAATTTAGGTAACAACACCAGGAAAGTACGAAACCATGCAAGGCTTTACAGGTCGGCTAAATGGTATAGAAATGTAAAATAATACGCGCACCTTTAACAAAAACTTATACATGTCTCTATCTCATCAAGATCATCAAAAATAAATTTCAGTCAGAGTTTTTACCATAAATGGATTTGCTGCCGATCCCTCCTTTTATAGTAAGGAATGTTTTATCAAAATTTTCTAGAAAGAATTTTCTTCAAAAGTAACACAAGCAAATTGCTTTAAAAAAAATTACACAAAGCAAGTTATGAATAGAATTTTTAACCTTTTTATTTACTTTGCTTTTCTTTGCTGATTGAAGTCTCACAATAATCAATTTAACACAACAAAATACAATATGCAATAATGACTTTGGTTAATAACTGTTAACCCTTTGTATAAATGGTTAATCAATAATAACTTGTCAACACTTAATACTATTGCCATTCAGTCTCAACACCTTACATTTACACTTAAACAATTAAACCCATATACAAAAAATTAAACAAAAACATTTACAAAACCAACAATTAAACCATTGCTTTCTACCAAAGCAAGTAATCAAAACCAAATTACAAAACCTCAGAGTTCTATACCAACGCTGATAACCAAATGGATAATTAAACCATACTGTTTAATTTCCGACTACAAAAGTGTTTTATTAAACAAAAAAAAATTAATTTGTTTTATTATTAAATTATGAAAATGTTTATTGCAAAATAATATTTGTCAAATTTGAAATTTATTAATTAAATCTTGGCTCTAAATTATCAATATAAAATTATTTAATTATTTAATTACCAGCTAATTAGCCCATTAGTTGGAAAAATTAATTTGCTAGATCAAAAAGTGACATTATCTTTTTTGAAATTAATTATGTTTGTTCCATTAATTTAATTAAATAAAATCAATAATAAATATATATAAGATAGTAACAAAAAATGTAAATGTGAATGTAAAAAATTACAAATATAAAATATTAATAAAATGAGAAAGGTTAGGACACATGTCTAACATACTATTATATATGATTGGACAGCACTTTGGTAAATCCATTTTATTTATCACACTATTTAAACTGAACTTTCTACAAAATCCAAATCATTAATTTCATTTTCTTCATTAAATAAACATCTTACCTCTTGTAATATAATTAACAAATCACTTTTGTTTTTTGATCTAAATCCACGATATTTGCATCAACAGTTTTCACCAATTAGTTCAAGGAAAGATTCCAACTTGATGATAAGTTCTTGTTTTGTCATTTTTGATTCACTTACCTGGGAAATTGCTTCTTCTTTGGTTATTGGAATAGGCTTAGATAAATAAGTTGTATTTTTATTGTAGAATACTTCAACAATATAATTTTCTCTAGCCTTTTTTGCTAAATTGCTAAAATTTTTCAACTGTTCACTCAATTCATTTTCATCAACCAGGCTTTTATACATAGATGTTATTTTTGTTGGATTAACAAAATCAAGATTTCTTAATTGAACTCTAAATCTTTGACATTCTGTACTTGATTCAGGACAGGTTCTTGGAGCATTGGAATGAATATCTTTATATCCAATTGTTTTAAATAAATTGGTTTGCAGCTAAATTTATTATAAATTGAATAAATATATATTTAAATTTAAAATCAAATAAATTAGTTCACAGTTAAATTTATTAAATATATATAATAAATTTTATTACCTGAAAAAATTTTTTAAGTTACGAGCAGCAATTTTCCAATGATGTAGTTGTGGCACAGGAGGTATTAAAGATTTTAATGTCTTGTTCACTTCTTCTAAAATTGCATCTAACCCTTGATGCTGGTTAAACAATCCTGACCTGGATAATACACAATATTTCTCCACCAAATCACGTATACTTGGATGAAGTTGCATTAATTGTACTTCATCTGCAATTTCAATTAATTGATAAATTGGATGACGACGAGCTGACCAAATTGGAGAAAAGGCTCTTCTTGCAGCACTTTTTAATAAAGGACGATTAGTTCTTACAGCTGTTCTATAATTGATAATGGCTTGCAAATAATAAAATGTCTATTATGCAATTTTTATAAACCATTAATGTTTAATCCAATAAGTCCATCTATTTAATTAACAAATAATATTAAAGTTTCCCACCTGTTCATACTTTATTTGATAAATTGGATCCTGTTGTTCTTTAGCCCATGCTATGTATCCTTCAACTGATGGATTAGAATGATTTTTTACATAAGGCCACATAAGCTCCAGAGACATTGCTTGATGATATATGTTACAGACAGAATCCCAGGACTTATGATGATCATAACATTTTTTAAAATAAGCAAGCTGTTTATCATTTTTGTAACCTTGACATA